AGATCTATATCGGCAAATTAATACAGACTGAAATTTGACTTATAGCAGAACATAACAGACACAAAAGTAAGCCCATTGAGTGGTATGGGGCTGGTGGTAAGAGAAACTGCAGAAAGATATTATCATCATGGTTGCTAAATTCATTTAAAATTGTGTGGAGATAGCTAGCGGTCAAAATTATATGCGCGTAAGGTTTTTTGAATTTTGACAAGACTAAAAAATAAAAATCGGTGGCCTGGAACGTTACGACTACCTATTTTAGTTTCGCTTATCCAGTTGATAAAACCTTCTTCGGCGTAACTCACAATAGCTGAATCTTTTTGAGTTGTGGTAAGAAGAAATAGTCGATTTCAATGGATTTTATATGTTGATTTATTTTGCTGAATGACAACCGGAAGTCGTTGACAATTTAACATCTATTGATACGGCTAGTGTTGAGATATAACCGATATTATGTTCCACTGTCGACACAGTAAGTCAAAAATGAAACTATAATTAGTAAACAAATAGACTTCAGGTTAGTCTATCAAAACAAAAAGTGAATCCTACAGATCTTGTCCAATCACTAATATAAATATTACATTAAATCAACACAATTCAATTCTTTATTTCGCCCTGAATTAAAGATGCATTATATAAGATTTAGATAAAGAGCTGGTCGTTCTTGCTATAATAGTTTTAAAAAAAAATAGACGATGAAAAGGGAATATGTTAAAAATATCAGTCAAATTACTTCATTCTGAGTCGAGTCATTGCCGTCTGAAAAACAGTGTACCCTCGATTGTCACTGCTACCGTTGTTACGATAATAAATTATTTTTTTTTAAATTAAATTATTAAGTAGCAATCGTGTATAAATTCGTTGAAAATCAAAGGCGTCCGATGGTCTAGAGAGTCGATTATGGGCTTGGCATGTGAATACATGTCTAATTAATTATTTACAAAACATCTGAAGACGAATAAGAGATATTGTAGGGTTGACATAAAAATATTTTCAATTTTTTGTCATGAGCGCTGACAACAAAAATTCTCTTTGGATTTCCGATCGTAATATTTTTAAGAATAACTTAACCACCCTCTAGTTCAGAAATCTTTTAGGGTTGGCGTAATACATCAAAAAAATTTCCAATTGCGATTTGTTTTGTATTTTTGTCAAGAGCAGTGACAAGAGTTCCAATTCTAATCCCGATTGTAATGTTTTTAAAAGGACGGATAAAGCTAGTCTCGATATTTAACCGTGTTCACGGAACAATATGTTACGACAGATGAAATAAGACACGCACAAGAAACAAGCCATACGATACATGCGTTCAGGGACGTCAACACGATCTCAGAACTCGTTAAAAACTGGACCCGGGGACGTTCAACTAACAAACTACATCAGCGTCAAAGAAGACAGCTAATTTGTGTAGATTTAACTTGGAGAGAAAAGACAAGAGTTGCGTGTTCCTTGATACCTCATAGTATAAAGATTCGTGGCAAATTTTAATAGAAATCATACTAACATGCACGAACATTAACACGTGCACGATATCAGTCACATGATAAACTAACAAGGCCGTCGGAATAATTTGCAAATTTATGTGTTCATTAGTTTATAAATTAGTCCGGGGCAAGACCTGGAAGCCCATTTTGACTCGCAACACTAACAGCCCCCGCAGTAAAAAAATAATATGAATTTAGTTTCGACGGGCGTGGTGAACTTTGTAATATAAGATTAGAATCGTCTCCCCCTGGTTTTACAGATCATAAAATTATATAAATTATTAAGTAGACATTTATTAACATGGCAAGACCAACTCTCGATGCCATCTGATGGCTCCGATTTTAAGTAGATTAGAACGGTTTGGCCATTAAATGATTTAATTTAAAAATGGAGATGCGAGGCTAAGACTCGAATGACCAGTATGGCGGTTGTGATCAACTACAACCATTGATAACTTCGCTTAAAATAAAGTAATTTGAATGAAATTTTCAATATATTCATTTTGCATTATCTATTTTTGAAACATTATAGCGAGGACGGACAACTCTTTATCTAATTCTTACACAATGCCCCTTTAACTACTTTCATTTTCTAAACAATGTTTTAATTTACTTCAGATAAATTTCAAACCTCAAACGACCTATAATTCATTATTTAATATTTTTTTCCTCCTTCAAATTTGTTTCGCCATTCATTGTATCTCCTTGAATATTTCCGGTTGATTTTTACAAGAAATCGTAATCAGATAAAATGGAAATATTATTAATAGATAAAACATACAACGCTGAGATATTTTTATATAAAAAAACTCCTCAATATCTAACAAGCGTCAACGTTAACGTTAAATCGGGTGGCGTAAAAAAAACCTTGTAATTTTTATGCGGCCCGAAATAAGGAAGACGTTCCTTAAGAGAAAATTTGTTATGAGGGTTAATATTGAATCAGAGGCTCGTTTTAAATCAGTTTATCTGTTTTAGTTTTTTAGCGTAGATTTTAAGAACAACGGTTACTAATGTAATAAACAAAAATAAAAGGAAGGGAATTTGAATTTCTAAAATATTTTATTATAAAAATATAGAAATAGGTTTATAGTTATAACAATGGTCTTTTGGGGTTTGTTTATCATGTTTATCAGAGAGTTCAGGCGAAATTTTATCCTTGGATTTTGTCAAAAGAATGGAAACTAAATCCGATTATTCTGCAAGCGAGAAGTTCGTGGATAAAGCTAGCCGTGTCTTTCTATGAGAAGAAGATATGTTCAATATTTCAGACGACCATCTGTGTCTTTGCAAACACTCGACATCATAAAACATTACAATCTTCTAGGAACTTAACAAACCCAGAAAAAACCCACACACGGGTCTCTGACGAGGGTTTTATTTCATTTAAAGATTAGTGGGATCGCGGTCAACTCTATAGACTATTCAAAGATTGAAGAATATTCGCTGTTTTAATGTTAGATTATCTATAACCCGTCCCCAACAGATGAAAGACAACACTATGGTCCTTCTAGTATCAGTGTTAGTGAACAAATAACACTTAAAACTGAGATTAGAGTTCTTCTACCCCCAATCAGTCCACTTGACTACCACTCGCTTTTTTTCATTATATCTAAAATTATCAATCCCTTATACATTTGTACGCGGTGAACTTTTAAACTAAAAGCATTTTTTTCGTCCGATTGATCGTTGTGTGGCCTTTTTTTAAAAAAAAAAAAAATGGCTATAAATCGCCTGCTCATGGTTAAGAACATCTGATACCATTTCTAATTTATATTTGAAGTTTACATAGTTAAAACGTATTTAATTTACACATTTGTATTGTGACAAACGAAAAACGCCAGAATGTCACAAAAAATTACATGAACGTTAGGGTGTCAGACCATTGTTGAACGTATCGTTACAGAAATGCATAGTTTGGTGGTGGGTTTTAAAACGGCCAAAATCGCCTGGTAACACTTCTAATCTAAATGGGAAGTTCACACAGATAATTGCCAGAATGCTACATACAATTACATGAAAATTCGCATGGCGAGGACGTCTCTCTCTCTCTCTCTATCTATCTCTCTCTCTCTCTCTTTCTCTCAGACCATTGTTCACACAGATAATCGCCAGAATGCCACATACAATTACAAAAAAATTCGCATGGGGCGCAAATGTTTTGAAAGGCCGTTTGGGTGTCGGACCATTGTTGAACACATTGTTACATATTCCGTGATTTTTAATTAATTTACTTCCTAATTTCAGCTTTTATGCATTAAATATTTTATGGAAAAACAGGGAACCATAGCAACAACAGTCTTTAGACCGTAAGAACCGCAATTTAAATACTTGCTGGTTATTTAAACTCAAATTGACGTATCATGATAATTATATTTATTTACAGATAATCATCAATCATAATCTTGTCGGACGGAGCACCTGACAAGGACAGCTGTCTAGTCGTTCGGATGGGACGAAAAACCGTGGTCCCGTGTACACATTGGACGTGCACGTAAAAGATCCCTTGACAGTTGGAATTCTATATAAGAGTAGACCGTAGTGCCGCTGTCCGGGCAAAATTTCAGTCATAGCACACTATATGGCGTATGCCCGTCTTCATTAGCCCAGTTCGGAGCAGAACAGTAGGACGTTAAACCCCATTTAATTTCATTTCATTTCATTTTCATAATCTGTCGACAGGTAAAGTGAAAGCGGTATATGTAGTCATATTTTTGGCACAATATAACCCGGTTGGTGCTGACATGTTAATACCCACCATTTTATTTCTGCACCACCCGTCGTCATTAAACCCGGTTGATGCAGAAAAATAGGACTTTAAACCCAATTTCATTTCATATTAGGCCGTTATTGTACCGGAAGAAATACAATAGGAAATTCAGGACTGGTGTAAGCTATCTTTAGAAGATATTACTCAATATATACGTTTTACTTGTCCAGTATTTTCAACTAAGAGTCAAATAAAAAAAAAATGAATTAATTTAAACCTTTTCTGTTTGCAGTGGCGGATGCCGGATATTTGGTTATGGGGTGGGGGCACTCCGAGAAAATTTTAAAAAATCAGGCTGCGAATAGTAACATATAACGTAACCCCAACCAATAAAAAGCTCATATTTACACATTTCATATAAACAGAATAATAAGTGAATTTTTTTATACTGTATTGAATTTTACATAGGAAATAAATACAGCTTAAACAAGATCACCTTAAAACATTTCTTATCATAAATTATCGCACCATTTTATAAATTCACTTCAAATAATTATAGCACACTATTGTTAATTTCATACAACATTAATCGATTTATCTGCCGACTTGGTGAACAAGTTTGTGAATTTTTACATCACTCTTTATACACAGTGTTATAACAAGCGGTCGTGTTTTAAGTTTAAACGGATAGCAGCTATACCACACAGTGACGTACTGCCATCTTGTTTTGAATGAAAACAACGTAAAAACAACACGGTGTATATAACCCACAAAAAAACAAATATTTCATATTTGATACTACCTACCCATTATATTACACAATAGAACGGAAGTACGTGGCTCTCAAAACTCCTTACGGTGCCTCTTTCTTGTGTTTTAGACGGGTACAGTCCAAATTCATTCGATTCCCTCGCGTTATTTGTTAACAAGCACGACTTGACGTGTATGTCGTGCGCCATCGAGACAAGCAAACACTTTATTCGATCAAGAAAGGATGTTGAATATTGAACAAAGTAAAAAGTCGAAGTTTTCCGCGAGGATTTTCGATCTTTATTGCCTGTCGCCATCATCAACCCGACATTATACGCCGGTAGTCAATTTACTGATCGATTTCTGATTAAAGGGAAACAACTCCAATTAACAACCTCTAGTTTTTACGAGTTTCTAACAGTGATAAAAAATTATGTCACTCATCGCCAGACATTGTATTTTAATTTTTTAATTACTAGATTTGATCAGTCATACTATAGCGCCTTCTTATTAAAACCCCATATCAAATGTGTCAATATGAAAATGCAGAGATAACGGAAAGCGAATTTGCCAAGTTATTTGGGTCGAAGAAGTATGGATTTCTATAGCGCCATGTCTATGCAAAGCATCCATGAAAAGTGTTAAGTTATTGCAATAAAAAAAGAGAAAACCCGCTAAGAAAAAACCCAGAGAATTGACAACGACAACACTCATCCGACGACTTTTTACTTTTTAAATATTTTCAAAAATTCTATCGGCAGCGAATAGAGAGTTAATATTATATTTCATCCTTGCTCAGTGGTAATATCGACTGAGCTAACATTTACTGCGGATGCGTGGAGAGGTTGTGAAGTCGTGCGCTTTATATCATAAGGTCTGCCACGGGGTTGGCTCTACAAAGTAATATCAAAAATAGATTTATAATTTTATCGGCAGCGAATCGAAAGTTAATATTAAAGTAGCTAAGTCTCTAACTCAATATCATCCAAAGACTTCGACATTGAAAACACGAATTATTTGTCAATTTAACTCAACATTGATGTTCTGATCTTACCGGGAAAAGGTATGTTTCTGGTATCCAATATTTAAGACAAAATAAACATTTTACTATTGGTACACGAATCGTGTACCATAATGCGTTTATGTGGCATTTGTGACAAGGGAATCGAAGAACGGGGCTAGATATATTCTTATCTGGAAAGCATGCGCAATAAATACTATCGGCGAAGACTGGAATAACCAGACGCTAGAGATTGCCACTCGATTGAGACACTGGTGTATTTCGCCGAACATAACTGATTTTGAATTCGAGTAAAAACGGAAACGATTGAATGTAAATCAGTTTATATACATTTATATCATATTTATATATGCGTTGCGACCCATTTGTGTCAATTTCTGGGTCCCAAATATTAGCGATTTAGCTCCTTTAACTCTATTGCACCCCCTAGTGACAATCTACTGTGGATGGATTGGGATGCAGGATAGTCGAGGGATGTACATCATGAGATTTGGATACGATCTGGGGCCTGTTTCACGAAATTTTAACTAAGATAAAATTCAAATTTTAGTAATTTGATTGGATAATATTAGGTTGATTTTAGTGCTTAGCCAATCAAAACGGAAGTATCTACTAAAATCTGGATTTTATCTTTAGTTAAGATTTCGAGAAACAGGGCCCAGGGGTTGCAAAAATTCTGCCTTGTGCGCGAAACACGACCCTAATACAATTGTTTATAAGATGGATAATACCAAATAAATCTATGATGACAGACATTCAATTCCTTAACGATAAGCATATAAGAAATGAAATGGGTTTTAACGTCCTTATTGGTCTGCTCCGACGGGGCTAATGAAAACGGGCATACGCCACAGTATACCATGCGATACATTTTGCCCGGACAGTGCTGCGGCTTATTCTTATACTGAATTTCAACTGCCAAGGGATCTTTTACGTGTACGCCAATGTGTACACGGGACTGCGGTCTTCCGTTCCAGCCGAACGACTATACGTTGTCCCTTGCCAGGCCCTCGACCCTGCACCACTGACAAGGGGGAACCGCGCCGGAAAATTCAGTCGAACTTTCTCGGTCAACGCAGTGATCCGACACGGGACCTCCAGGTTAGCGAGTCAATGTCTTACTCACTGAGCCACCGTGGTTCCCAATACAATTAAGTAGCTTTGAAACTTTAGTTGATATTAGTAACAACATAGTCCTCATAAATTGTGAACAGTCTTGCACGCCTCAATTACGTCAAGAGATACTACTGGAATGTATCGAGTAATACCGATTCAACATCGTAAAGTACGACTCGTACTAATAGTGAAATGTTGTCGGAGAGAGAGAGAGATGGGATTTAACGTCCACTCGACACAAATTAGGTCATTTCGGGACTAACATATGGTTTTAATTTTATTTCAATAATTCGCTTGCGCGTAGGGGTCTTTAGCAGTGGGAAGAAACCGGAGGACCCGCAGAAAACCCACGAGGTTGGACAGGCGACCCTACTCTTTGTCACGTACAACCGTGGATTCGAAACCACGCGAGTTGACTCAATGACGGACTTTATAATTCAGCGCACACGTGCTAACCATTCGGCCATTCAACCCCCGAAATATTGTCGGTGATATCAGTATCGTGGAATCGGACGTTAAACAAAATCAACCAGCAAACAAGTAAGCAGCTGAGTTGGTTCTCATTGGAATACCAATGTCTTGTTAGAATATGTCGCATCCGGAATGCACATATAAATTTACAGTCAGTATACGTCTGTTTCGTATCAGAGTGGTTTTAGACAAAACCAAATATTGCTATCGTGGGTTTTATTTTTGTCAATATCTTCTAATTTTGCCTTAAATCTAACACGAGGAATTGTACAGTTAGTATTTTCAAATATTTGCAAGGCACTTTCCAGGCAATCTTGTTCATATTCCACGTGTTTTGTATTTGAAATATTCTATCCAAAAGACATCAATCAAACTCTAATTACTTGCCTTGATAATCAAATAAATTAGACTCTTAAGGTGACAAACATGAGTAATTTTACAGTCTAATAAATGGAGTTGCGCCACTTCTCTTTTTATACAGGGGAATTTTGGCAGCGATGTTTGTTTTTTCTATTAAAAAATTGGATGTTTAGTATCAGGTTTATTCACATTTTCAATTTTAGAACCCGTCCTTATCAAATGGACACTGTACACCATTAATTTCCCCCAATGAATTTAATCTTAATACATGTCTCGTTGACTTGCTTTGACGCTTTCTACCACAGACGGAGTAACACCTTGCAACCTCTTGCTCAAAAGCATGTAAGAAGTTCATCATTGAAATATTGAGATAGATAAACTGGAAGTAGCTTATATATAAACATATCCGCCCGTCATTGCAATGTAACCTACAGCCTCTGAACTCTCTTATCCTTCCGCCTCACAATCATAAACATTCACCAAAACCTGTCAGAAAATGTATTTTCAAACCCTTTTCACCGATTCTACAAAATCAACAGAAATCGACATGCAAAAGGTGAAAACTGAAATATAGAGAAAGACTAAAAATAACTTTGGCACTAGATTCGTGATGGTGAGCTGTATCCAAAAGATTACTAAGTGGAGTTATCCCCCTTATACCAACTGATCTGTTTTATTTATATTGAGCTGTCAACCACAATCAAGTTATTAACAAAGTGACACAAATTTTAAATAAAATATTGATGTATTCTTTTTTCTTTTTAACCCGTAAAAACGCAATATATTTTGAAACGGGCAGACCCACAGTCTGAATTAAAACAGGTATCTCGCGGCTATAAGCCTAATCTCCGCCGTAGCCACTATGGCTAAGTGGGTAAGACGCTTGCTCGCAAGCATGGAGGTCGCGTGTTCGATCCTTGCATTGGCTGAGAAAGTGCATCGGGATTTTCCGACGCATCGGGATTTTCCGACATGGTTCCCACCTTGTCAGTGGTGCAGGACCGAGGGCCGTAGCGCTGTGGCAAAATTTCCCATCTTCATTAGCCGAGTCGGAGTAGAACAGTATAGTCACTTTAAACTCCTTTTCCTAATTTCCCCAGTACGAAATTAGACATGAACTGAATGTCCGGTTCCAATGAATAAGGATTAATATTTGTCGTGAAGAGATATGACACTGATGTCCCGGATGTTTTTATCATATACGTCAGACAAACCTTGATATTGTCACATACATAACTTCTGCCACTGCAGTGTCTAAAGTCTAAATATCAGAGCCAACTGCAGATTTCGTCAAGGTCGTGAGATGTAAACAGGGATAGGACGCGTGATTATTGACGAGATTGTGGGTTAGGGTTAGGGTTAGCACTAGCCCTGTTTACATCTCGTAACCTTTGACCAAATCTGCGGTTGGCCTTAATTTTTACACCTAACCGCTTTCAGTGCACAATATTTCACCATGGACATTATAAATAAAATGAAATGGGGTTTAACGTCCTACTGTTCTGCTTCTAAACTGGGCTAATGAAGACGGGCATACGCCATACAGTGTGCTATGAGGGAAATTTTGCCCGGGCAGCGGCGCTACTGCCTACTCTTATATCGAATTCCAACTGCCAAGGGATCTTTTACGTGCACGTCAATGTCACCGTGGCTCCAACAATGGCCAATAAAAACTATCATAGACAATAAATGATACGATAATAAGATGTTTAGATGTCTACATGTAATACCAGTATAAGTCGTATAACGCTATTCGATACCTGCTTTATATATATTACCCGGTTAGATATTCAAGGTAACATGACGTGTTGTCACTCAGGTCTATTTTATAGACAGAAATACTACACAACAAAGCACAAACATAACATATGACGCTTGCTTTAATTTTGTTTGTGAGCAATATGTGCGGTAACCTTATGTCCTGTAACATTATGTGCAGTAACATTATGTGCAGTAGCATTATGTAAGGTGGCATTATGTCCTGTAACATTATGTGCAGTAGCATTATGTACAGTAACATGTGGTGTGACGTTTTAAACGTAACATATACTGAAACATTTTGTCCTGTAACATTATGTGCAGTAGCATTATGTAAGGTGACATTATGTCCTGTAACATTATGTACAGTAACATGTGCTGTGACGTTTTAAACGTAACAACATCTACTGTGACATTATATCCCGTAATTTATAACAACCACCGTGTGTTGTAGATAATTCCATTGTTTCGTTTAAACTCAGTTTAAATATGATGAGTTAACACTGTAAAATATATTTCGACGGTAAGTCTTGTATTTCTTCACAGAATGGTGTACACACGGGATTTTATTTTATTTATTTTTTTTTGGGGGGGGGGGGGTGTGGCTCGACTCATTCTTCATCGAATGGTGTACACACGGGATTTTATTTTATTTTATTTTTTTAATTATTTTTTGTTTTTGTTTGGAGGGGTGGGTGGGGGGATCTGGCTCGACTTAGGCTCAGCAAAGGTAGAGCCTGTGGGGCTGACAAGGATAGTGTTGATACTCCTACAGATGGGACAAAATACCGAAAGCGAAATTTACCCCCCCCCCCTCATTCTTCTATGTTAAAAGAGGATCCGTGTACATATCGGCGTGCACGTAATTTTCGAGAAAAGAGTAGGCCGTAGCTCCGTTTTCTCTCACAGTACACTGTATGGCGTATACTCGTCTTCATTAGCCAAGTCGGAGCAAAACATTATGACGTTAAATCCCATTTAATTCATTTCTCTGTTAAAACCGAAATAAAATCGAAGCAAAATATAATCATTGTTGTTAATTTTACAGTTAACGTTTTGTGTATATTTTACAGTTAACAGTTAACGTTTGGTGTGTATTTTACAGTTAACAGTTAACGTTTGGTGTGTATTTTACAGTTAACAGTTAACGTTTGGTGTGTATTTTACAGTTAACAGTTAAAGAAGCGGGTGAAATTTTTGCATAGTCTCGGTCATCATTACTAAAATCATTAATATAAACAGCATAGTCTCGATTATCCACTTTTTTATATTTAATTATCAATGGCCGTTAGCGGCATATAGGAATCTAATCCAGCCAACATCGAAGGATAGCCTTGACATCGAGAGTTTATTATGGTCTGGATAAGTTAATTAATGTCTAATTGATAATTTAGATAACATTTCAGGCCTAAAGAAAGACTTGTAATAAGCAGATTTTGCTCTTGCATAATGCATGTTTAACGTTTGGTGTATATTTTACAGTTAACGTTTGGTGTGTATTTTACAGTTAACAGTTAAACATGCATTATGCAAGAGCTACATCTGCCTATTTCAGGTCTTTCTTTAAGCCTGAAATGTTATCTAAATTATTAATTAACCTATCCAGGCCATAATCAACTCTAGATGGCATCGCTAGCCTGCGATCTTTAGTGGATTGTAAGCCGATTTACTGCATAACTTTCCTTATCATTAAACGATTAAATGGATAATCGAGACTATGCTGTTTATCGTACTGACTTTAGTAATGATGACCGAGGCTTATGGGAATTTCAGTCGCTTAGTTCTCGGTTCAAAGTGGATCAATTTGAATGAAATTTTCACCAAATTGCCTTCTACCTTATCTAGTTTTTAACTATTATAGTGAGAACTGCCAACTCGTTACCGAATCTCCCATAATGTATCTTTAACGTTTGGTGTGTATTTTACCGTTAAAGTGTGTTGTTAATTTTACAGTTAAATTTTGACGTGTATAGTGTATTATATTCCATGACTCGCTCCCAAATTATACCCCACTGAATGTTAATTGACGTCGTGTTCATTATAATTATTACAGCCTATAAATCATTTAATAAGTTAGTTTCTTGGTGACAAATTTGTTGATAGGCACAACGAATAGTTGTATAAAAACTAAATTTTTAACGTGGAGTAATTATCTATGTAGGCCTAAATGTTTTAATATTTATATAAAGGTGTCTGTTTTATCGGTGGAGATCAGTAATTATCATGAACGTAATTCATAGTTTGTGACAATTTGAGAAAAGATGGCGTACTTGCCTTCTCTCAGTTCAGCAGATGTAGTTATTCCACCAATACAGCAGATAGGTAAAGTTTTTCTTCTATATTTTTGTTTGTGTTTAAAGATACATTATGTAAGATTTAGATAAAGAGCTGACTGTTCTTGCTATAATAGTTCAACAAATAACTATGGACAAAGAACCTACCGTGTTGTTGAACGAAATTCATTAATCTAATTCACCAAATTGGTGCAGAATTATTCAAATAAGACACATGCCAATTATCATGTCAATCGAACTAGGCTTTTTCGAAGAGCGTCACCCCAAGAACAAGAACAAGAAGAACAAGATGAGTAGCAGTTACCAACCAGTTCCTGGTCCAAAAAGATAGACAATTCAAATGAATATATGTATTTTTGTGTTTAAATTACAGTTGATAAGGTTGAAACTAACACAAACGTTTCTTAATGGATAACAATCACAAGCAGCTGTAATAGTGAGACGTTTCACCAAGTATCCCCCTTTTTGAATATTATAGGATTATTGCGGTTGATATTAACTTGTGTGAGAATACTGGTTGAAACGTTGCACTATTAAAGGAGTTAAGTCAATATTTTCCATAATATTCGAAATTAAAAACACGAATTAGAATTCAATATTGATCAATTACAATCAATATTGATCAATTACAATCAATATTGATCAATTACAACCCTTATTGATCAATTACAATCAATATTGATGTTATTATCTTGTGAAACTATAGGATCCTAATATCAAATATTTAAGACACAATTAACATTTTATGGTTTCGGGTGCCATTTTGTAATGAACAAATAAAAACATATCCTACAACACAATGTGGAAGTAATTAGTAAAGGCTAATTCACAAACGACAAAATAATAATTTAAAAAAGCAGGAGTAAACGACTGCCTTTCAATTTGAACTGTTCACGTAGTTTACCGATTTGAAATTTAGAATATAATAAAAGTCAAGTCCATTAAAGTATCGTTTACTATGTTCATATTTCAATAATTGACTTTGATATTTATCAAGGAAGACAAATAGTACGGTATATACACATATGTTTAAAGAGGCAAAAGACACGATGGCTCAGTGGGTAAGGTGTTGGCTCACTAACCAGGAGACACAGTGGCTCAGTGGGTAAGGTGCTGGCTCACTAAGTAGTGGGCACGGTAGCTCAGTGATTGAGGTGCTGTCTCACTAATCAGGAGATACGTCAGTGAGTGAGGTGCTGGCTCACTAAGCAGTGGACACGGTGACTCAGTGAGTGAGGTGCTGTCTCACTAATCAAGAGATACAGTGGCTCACTGGGTAAGGTGTTGGCTCACTAACCAGGGGACATGGTGGCTCACTGGGTAAGGTGTTGGCTCACTAACCAGGGGACATGGTGGCTCACTGGATGAGGTGCCGACTCACTAACGAGGAGATACGACGGCTCAGTGAGTGAGGTGCTGTCTCACTAACCAGGAGACACGGTGGCTCAGTGGTAAGGTGCTGGCTCACTAAGCAGTGGACACGATGGCTCAGTGTGTGAAGTGCTGGCTCACTAACGAGGAGATACGACGGTTCAGTGAGTGAGGTGCTGTGTCACTAACCAGGAGAGTTTGGATTTCCTCTCATCAGCGATCCGGGACGAGGGACGTGAGCAGGGAAATTCACCTGGTCGTGCATGTAAATAAACGGTTGATAGTTAGAATTCGGTGCTGAACAATCGTAATCGACACTGCCCGGGCAAAATTACATAGCACACTGCATGGCATATGCCCGTCTTCATTGTCCCTGTTGGTACAGAATATTATGAAAAATATTATTTTTGTTTCCATAAGCATGTAGGAGAAAACGAGCCACCAACAGTTTAGACATACCTATTTAATGTTTAAAGATACATTATGTAAGATTTTGATAAAGACCTGGTCGTTCTTGCTATAATAGTTCAAAATAGATAATGAAGAATAAACATATTGAAAATTTCATTCAAATTACTTTATTCTGTGCGATGTTATCGCTGTCTGAAGTTTTGACAATATGTGACATAGATTGTTTATCGCCGTAGCCTCGATTCACCATTTTTAAATTAAATCATTAGATAACGACCTATTTAATCCGGTTAAATCTCTGCATTTCGATGGTCTATAGAGTTGATTATAGGCTTGTCATGTGAATAAATGTCTAAATAACAGAGTTTAGAACATTTGAAGTGAAAAAATAACACCTGCAGTAGGCAGATTTATGAGCGCTTACATAATGTGTCTTTAAAAAGTGAATCTCAATATTTGACAATAATACTTGTATATATATTCAAGCAGATGTAAGTTTAGGCTACGAATCCTATAAATATTAAACTATATATTTTATTCAGGTAAGTGTAGGTAAGTTATATAAATATGCATGTACACACTCTGTTTGAGAATTTATAATTGGACACATATGTTGATATATGATGTTGATATATTTACATTATGTCATCTCAGGGTTAATCCCAGGTGGGGGATATATCACGCACCTGTTGAGAGGGGGTAATGTTTGTATACATGTAAATATCACGTGATAATTAGATACATTGTTCTGTCCTTCAGAGGAGTTTGTTGTCTAGGTAAATATCATTGTTCAATTTAAAGGGATTCTATAGGAATTATTTCTATTTTGCATAATTCGCCCCCGATGTGTCTCTTATATGACATGTGTTTGTTTGAATTAAGGTGTTGTTTTCAGGTGTAAAGGCTTATTACTGATCACACTATGGTACATTGCTGAATAAAATTTTTTACTATATTTTAGTTCCAAGTTTATAAAATCATAACAATCTTTATCAAAATTAATAACAATTTTTATCAAAATTAGTAACAATCTGTATCAAAATTAGTAACAATCTGTATCAAAATTAATAACAATCCTCATAGAAATTTTTATCAAGTGTTAACAAAATAGTAACAACCGTTATCAAATAAGAAATAATATTTCTCAAATTATAACAATCTACAGAATACCAAAATTGTAACAACCATGATCAAAATTATAATAATCCGTGTCAAAATTCGTGACAATCAAAAGTATAACAATTTTAATCACAACAGTAACTATTTTTTTTTCATCAAAATAGCAACAATGTTTTATCAAAAAAGTAACAATGTTTTATCAAAATAGTAACAATTGTTTTATCAAAATAGTAACAATCTTTATCCGACTCGGTAACAATCGTTATAACAATTGTAACAAACGGTATCAACACAGTAACAAAATAATAAAATTGTAACAATCATGATCAAAATTATAACAATCATGATCAAAATTATAACAATCATGGTCAAAATTATAACAATCGTGATCAAAATTATAACAATCCTTATCAAAAATCGTAACAATCAAAAGTATAACACTTTTTTTTATCAAAATAGTAACAGCTTTATAATTCCAACACCAAAATGATAACAGCTCTTATCAACTCAAAATACATCTTTATCAAACCAAGCATCGAAATAATAACAATGTAAAGTTAAAGTTGCGATAAGTCTGCACAAGCCAGAATAGAGTTTTCAAATTTGTATTTGAAAAATATAAGATTCAATATGTTTGTAGATCAGCATAATTTAGTACATTGTATATTCTAAATTCATGCGCAGTTTGGGCGTGGCTGATTTTTAAAATAACATTATATCTAGCCGCTGTGGCTCAGTGTTTACCATCAAATCTTGGGTTCGCCCTCTGTGTTGACAGTTGGAATTCCATCAAAATTACTCTTACAGCACCGGTGGGTGCAGCAAAGTAATAGAGAGGGGGGGGGGGGTTAATGTCCACTCGACACAGACTAGGTTATTTCGGGACTAACATGGTTCAATTTTATTTCAATAATACGCATGCGCGTAGGGGTCTTTAGCAGTGGGGGTACACCGGCCATTTACCCCCCCCCCCCCATTTAAGTAGTAATATTTCTGCTTTAAAAAAAATGTTTGGGTATGTCGCTTTAAACTTATTAGTTCCAACTGTTTGCTTATAACGAACACCCATTAATGTACAGCGCTAGTAATATCAATATAATATATAGGATTTACTGGGCTTTGTTATCATAAATTGCTCGCCGATGGATTAAAAATAACTGATTTAATTGACTGACAGTGTTGTTAGTTTGACGAACAGTTCGACTCGGGGAGGTGTCGGATTTCGTCAGACTTGACCAGGTTTTTTATATGGTATATAAAATATTGTAAAGTAATATGATTGTAACATGATTAGAATATATTTCGAGTACAAACAAGTTGACATATCGGAGATCAGAGATCATTTTAATTTTGAATATTCGATCGGGTGGTATAAAGTTCTGTCTTATGATCTTTTTCATCAAAAACTAGGCTACATAGAATTCGATTGACAAATACAAAATGGACTCTTTCCAAATTGGTGAGTTTTTATTTCATGTACAATGTCTTTTGATACAATATAACCCGGTTGGTGTTGACGTGCGGTTACATACTGTTTGTTTTGAATCTTTTTTTCTCAACAGGGTTTGGGGGACTGGGGTGAGGGGGTGGGGTGGTTAACGCGTGCACGTTGGATCAGAAGGTTTGTTATTGAGTCAAGTGGCGTTGTTTCGATTCCCGGCTTGTACGTGACAAGGAGTAGGGTCGCCTGTCCAACCTCGCGGGGTTTCCTCCGGGTCCTCCGGGTTCCCCTCACTGCTAAAGACCATGTAAAGATGGCACATGTTAGAAATGGTTCTCAACTACTGATGTCGCCGTCTTGGTTCTATAGTAGATGGTTCTAAAGACCTCTGTTGAGTAAGTTTTGTAATTATTTGATTATAAAAACATTACAGGCCTGTTTAGAAGATGATGTGTAGAATAAGCATATCTATAATTTATCTTTATTGACCAAAAAACGCTGTATCATAAAGCCTGTCATTGAGTCAACTGGCTTGGTATCGAATCCCTTGTTGTACGTGACAAGGAGCAGGGTCGCCTGTCCAACCTCGTGGGTTTTCTCCGGGTCCTCCGGTTTCCTCCCACTGCTAAAGACCCCTACGCGCAATAAAAGTAAACCATATGTTAGTCCCTACATGACCTAGTTTG